CATTGAGCAGTGAATAAGAAAACGTTTTACAAATTGAGGTTTTTCCCAAAGAGTCACATCAATTTATTGGTAAATATTGATAGGTCATTGCATAGAGCTCTTCATTTAAAAACTATAATGCATTTAACAAATGGTCATGGTAATATATTCTTTCCTGATCATAGAAACCCTCATCATTCAGTCCTAAGACATAAGAAATCATTGTTTTCCAACAAGACTTACGTTGGGAGCAGTCGCTACCAATCCATCCTGGGTAGCACTGACAGGATCTGTCAATGGGGTTACAGGTGCCATTGTTGGTGCAGGTGCAAACACCTGCACAGTTCTTCCCAAATCTGCCACTGGGACACACTGTGAATAAACACGAGTCCAGTCAGCTCTAGTTGGAATGCACCTCACAGAACTCTGAGAATGGGAAATCATTTCCAGGGTCACACACAGCTGCCTCCTGCCTTCACTTCAGAAGGCACATACCCTAATCCAAGATGGGCTCATTTTTACAAGCACATGAAACCAAAGGCTTCATCTCAGCATCTCAAAAAGTCACTGTGGTGTTTGTAGAAATCTGAATTACAGTTTCTCATTGAGGGAGTCAAAATCCTTCCTTACATTGACTTTTCATGAGGGGATGGTTCCAATGAAACCATAAGACACAAGCAAGGGAGCTGAGAACTTTGTAACAAGGCAGTGCCTCCAATATTTGTGTTATTTTCAGAACTACCTAGAGCTGGTCATAGCAGGACATACCCGGCCTTGCGGAATTCTGAGTATGTCCTAAGGAAGCTTGATCCTCCCTATGGCTCTCCCGGGTGCCCGGGTGTTTACCTTCATTACACAGGGCACCGGTGAAGCCAGGCAAGCAGTCACACAGGCCTGTGATGTGGTGGCAGGGCCCACTGCTGTGCACACACTGCGGGCATGTCTGGCTACAGCGATGTCCATAAAAACCCGGGGAGCAGACTGCAAATAGAAACTCAGAGTTATCTTCCTGAGTTGGATTTATCCCCTGTTCCACACAGAGGTCTAGTGAAACTGGAAGAATAAGAAAACTCTAAATGATAATGGAGATTTTTCAAGCATGAAACAAGAAGGCAGCATTTAACAAGGGAAGAAGCCACTAAAACTCCAGATCTCCGGATTTCACTGGGGTGAGAGAATGTCTCATGTATACCCCACTATGTTCCTGTGGTTGGCTCAAGGGTAATCCTAAACTAGGGGATCAAAGACATTTTGTAGAACAACTAAGGAAATGGGAAAAAATGAAACTCTAAATATCAAAATCTCAATTAAGCATCGCCAAGCTGTTTTCTGATCCTTTATTCTTCAAGAACCATGATTGCCAAAAAATGATAAACACACAAGGTTTGAAGATTTTCTCCTTAAAAAATGTACAAGTTAATAACTGTGATTAGATTAGAGAGGGCGAGTAAACAGAACGCTACGGATCTGGATGCTTCCAGAGACTTTATTTGGATTTAAATATAGAATGATTACATTGAACTCTTTAATAGAAAAAGCAATTGATCTGAGAAATTACAACAGTGCATGTTATAACGGCTCACGTATTCTTTCCTGATGACATTGACCAATAGATTTAGCAATATGTTACAGATTGTTTTTCAGTTCAAGTTTTCTACGAAGCAACATCTATGGTCCCCATTTTGAACTTTCAATTCTGCTTTCCCTACAGCACTGACTTTCAGATTACTGGTGAGGTGTATGATTGCCTCAAGGCTTGGCTGATGTTGACTTCTGGTAATTGAGGTGAGGCTGATGCCAAATTGCCGAATAAAATATTTACAGGTCAGTGGATTTCTGGAACACTGTTTGTACACTCTAGGGAGGAATTGAGAATTGTGACCTAGTGATCGTGAGGTAAAGACATAGTCACTGAGAAGAAAGGGTTAACACTCCCATCTGTTAAGTTCATTCTGGAGGTTGAAAAGAGTAAAATTCTTGGGGAAGTGTTATTTGAGGACAGTTCTTCAAAGATCCCTCTTCCCTCGGCTGCCACAAAATGTCACTAGGAACTAAAGGGTGGGGCAGAGATGACTCTGTACATAATTCCCATGGAAGGGAGGTGTGGGGCTGTGTGTGCAGAAACCATTATGAAGGAGATACTTACTTCTCTGGCAAGTGGTGCCTCGGAATCCTGGTGCACATTCACAGATGCCATCATCCGGAGAACACGAAGCCCCATTTTTACAGTAGCAGGGCAGCGAGCAGTTAGGACCCCAGCGTCCCTCAGCGCACACACTGTCACAGTGTACACCTGAAACACCACACACATGACAGGGATGAGGGAGGTGCACTGTGGGCCCCTGAGGTTGCTAATACAACAATGCGGGTCGGGAATGGTGTAAAACCAACTATTTTAGACAACAGTAAGCAGAGATGGCACCAGGCTTAAATCTAGTAATTATGTGTATGCACCAAACACACAGAGTCATCCTAATATTATCAAATACATGGAACTCCCTTCTATGCAATCAAGGAGAGAACATTTATTTCACTACATTGACCTTTCTTCTTTAATAGAAAGGACCAACAGGGAGCCCCAGGGCCTTGTCTATTGAAGGCAAATTTTATCAGAAAAAGAAAATACTATTGATTTCCTACTTATGCCCCCATTTTGTCTTTACAGAGAAATAAAAAAAGGCACAAAATGATTAAATTATTTCACATGAAGGAAACCCTACTGGGGAGTAGAGAGCACAATCCTAAAACATGTCAAAGATCTAGTGTGCTGGATAAGCTGATACACTCAAATGTGTTGCTGTCTTCATCCTTAAAATTTTCATTTCACATCAGACAGATACAGGCAGAATATCCCAGCCCAATACTGTTTATGTCCTATTGTCTAAGTAACTCTTATGAAACTGTATGGAGCTATTTAACCTTTTATTTGGCAAATAAAGTCCCCTTAAACTAGTCATGACCCAATAAACAAACACCTACAGGAAGCTAATCTGGGAGGAGGAAAATAAAGCCAGTCATTACTGGAGGCAGAGGAATGTTTCATAAATTCGTATTTGAGGTACAACAGGGATCTCTTTGTTACATCCTAACTCAACACCTTCACCTGCAAAGGAAAGAGTTTTAGCTTGGGCTGTACTGGTGACTGCTGGCCTCAGAGCAAGGGGGAACAGTCATGCTCCCTCTTCTATTCCAGAAAGTTCACAGTGACCCTGCCTGGAGGACACCAGGCAGATCACACCACATTTTGCTTGTCTTTTTTGGGGGGGGAAAAGTTATTTTTCCCTGAACCTAATATGGAAGTCATTGTAAATGACCACAAGTATGTCACCAGCTGGTAGAAAGCCATTTCTGTAAAATAACAAATCTCTACTTTTTCCTGTCTCCATGTTCATCCTCCAGAAAGTCCTTAGCATGGCAAAGGCTAGAAAATCAGGCCCAACTCCATTTTGTCAAACTCAGGTTAGCAACAGACATTTATTCCAGAGGAAACCAGTTGAAGATACAACACAGATTGGGGACTAAGTGTTCCCTTCAGGATAAGTAAATGGAATGGGAGCCCACTGGTTTTTTTCTTGTGTTCATACACATCTTACTTTTCAAGGTGTTTTGAGAAGCTGAGACAGAATTGCAAATTCTGCACTCTGAATGTGAAGTACCAGCTATGGAGTCTCAGCTGATTTTTTTTTAAACCAATACCTATACCGTACAGAATCATCAGATATTCAGAGGAGCTTTGAACTCAGGAGCAAGCTGCAAATGTAAGCTCTGTTTTATATCTAAAGAAAATACTAAGAAGAGTAACCAACCTGCCTGGGGCTTCCCTCTCAATTGGAATTCAGTTTTCCACTCTCACTGTAAGCCAGGGCTCCTGTTTGACAGCCAAGGTGGTAAGGAGCCACCTGCTTCACAGATTCAGATGTCCTTGGGCATTTTGACCCAGAGCCATTCAGGCTAATCTCAAAGAGAAGCCTGAGGATGCAGAGTCCAAACAATTACTCAGATAACCTTATAACCAACCTGAAAATTAGTTCTGACTTCTCTAGGCTTTTTTTTTTTTTAATGTGGAATGGGGTTTGAGGGTTGAGACTTGGCCATTTAAGGTGACTTACTTTATCAACTGTTGGCAAAATCATATTACACTTAAATTCAGCTATAATATACTAGCTGTATTAGTCAGGATTCTCTAGAGAAATAGAACTGATAGAATAATCTCTGATATGTATACTCTGGTTTATTAGACTGGCTTGCAGGCTGTGGTCCAGCTATTCCAACAATGGCTGCCTACCAGCAGAAAGTCAAAGAATCCAGTTCATAAAACTGGATGTCTCAGTGTACACCAGAATACCAAAGAAGTAGGCTCTAATGCCAGTGAAGGAATGAACTCGCTAGGAAGAGAAAGGGCAAACAAAGAGCAAGCTTTCCTTTCTTCCATGTCTTTTACATAGCCCGCCACCAGAAGGAGGGGCCCGGATTAAAGGTGGATCCCTCACAGGTGTTTCCAGCCACTTGGGTTATAGTGGATTCTGAATGTAGTCAAGTTGACAACCAAGAGTAACCATGACACTGGCTTCGAATATTATGGGTTAACATGATTTGTGTATAAGCACACAGAGCTAGTCATGAAAAATGACTGAAGGCCAGATGTAAATTAAGTGATCGTATGCTTGGCATTTGATTTTGTTTCCCTCAGGAGACTTGTCCAGCTGGCTAGCACACCCATCTGTCATGATCAACTTCATCAAGGTAATTTCTCCAATAAGTAAAAAGCACCATGGAATAGCAAAGAGACCCACCGAGGGAAAAACTCCCCGTGTTTCACATGATAGACCCGTCATTTTGTTTCAGAGATTGCCTGCCCACAGTTGGATAAGCATATTTCAGCAGAACCAAGCGTGCTTTTTAAATAGCTTTGGTTTCTTTAGTTTTAGGATTGTGAAAGAAACTTTCTGTTGAATATAAATTGTAAACATCCCATTTTCTGTTCTTTCTTGGAAATTCGACTCTCTTATTCTGTGTAGTAAAGGAGTCATTTAGGAGATATTGACATCTAATCTATTTCAAGACAAGTATTAGAGATTCAACAAGCCCGCAGAAAAGTAGGATGCTATCTTTCCTCTGTATCATTCTTTATCCTTACTGCCCAACCTCTCCTCAGAACCTCCGTACTTCTTGCCATCTCTTTCATTCAGGGAAAGGCATGATAAATCTATTATTGCTGGGATCCTGTTTTTCCAGAGATTACTAATATTCCAAGAAGGCCCACATTTTGAGAGTCAAAGTGTAAAACTTCAGACAATGAGTCATAATTAAGTCCTGGTGATGTGTTTCCTTGAATCACCTCCTGGCATCAGGCTGTGGATGTGTGAGGCATCCTCCAAGATCAAGAGGTGCTGAAGGAACTGTGTTTGCTTTAACACCCCCATCCTCTCATTATTTCTATTGATCTCATATTTGCCAACTTTGATCAGGTTCACAAAACAGGTTTTTGTTTCCTTACTTGCAGAAGATGAAAAGTAATTTAAGTCAGTACACCTTCTAGGAGTTTAGCTAGTGCTGGCTTGTTGATGAGACATTCTCAGAAATGTTAACGCCAGGGTAACAAAGCCTCATGTCATACCTCCAGCTTTGTCTAGTAACCTGGATCAAGGAAGAGGGAAGAGAGGTCTAGGCTGAGGGAACAGTGGCCATGTGACTCAGAGTCCCAAGAAGTATGCAGAATTATTCAGAAGTATTCAGGAATTACCAACATTGGGAACAGGTGAAACTTGGGAACTAGAAATCTCAAGAGAAGCATCTGAACAGCTGTGGACCATTGGAGAATAGCTAAGAGACCCCTGCCCCTCATATCCATATGTCATGTTATGAGAGACCAATGAGGAATGGCATGGATACATTTCTGCTTTATAGGAGAGTGGATGATGGTGTGAAGAGATGAGTCTTGAAGACAAAAAGTCTAGGGACAGATTGAGATTATTGAGGTGACAAATGAAAAAAACAAACAAAAAAACCGAGAAGACATAGAACAAAACCATCCACAAGGGAAGAAGAATTCTATAGACAGATGGAGAAGATGCAGATGGAAAGTTCCTCTGTTCCCTACCCTACCCAAAACAATGCATCCTATCATCTGTGAGAGCAAGAGAGCCTGGCTGTGCTGTCTAGGACTACCACACAGGGAATGTAATGTTTGGCCCTGGGTACCAGTGTGTCTTGATTAAGAGGTGATGCTTTCAGTGTGTCTGTCTCAGGGGCGGTGTATGCAGAGAGGATGTGGGCCAGTGAATATTGGGAGAACATTTGCCCTGAATGTGGAAGCTCAGGAGGGCAGAAGCCAGAGCAGGAAGGTCCTCATGACACAGGTCCTTGTGTGCTAGCCCCTTTTCCTTCCTGAATCAGGAAGACAAACTTTTGTGGGCTGGGAGCCATTATCCGAAACTAAAGAGAAATAGGAAAATAATGAAATACTCTAAGGCAAATTTCTTTGGGATATTGACCAAAGAACAGATTACAAACTTCAAAACTAGTTGCTTTGGAAAATAATTTCTAAAATATTTGGAGGAGGGAGCAAATGGGAAGAGGGTGGGTTTAGAGCCACAAGCAGTTTTGCTCAAGAGAAGCACTTCTTTCTGATAAAATTTCGAACACTGATAAGGCGATCTTTGAGGGAGTGTTTTTGCCAGGACTGGGGACAAAGAGTCCATTGATAGGCTTCTCAAGTTGCTAGGCAATGGCTGAATGACCGTGATAAACTTCAGCTAGGCAGCACTAAAGAAATGCTCATGCGTTTAATGCCTGATGCATTAAGCCGGGGACCTCCACGGGAAACCAGCATTCCCTGGGCACTTGTGATTGCATGAATGTGGTAATAAATCATCTGGGATGTCATTATTTCCCTTCTCAAAGACATAACCCCAAATCCTCATATTCCTTACGCTAATATTACAATATCTGGCATGTTGGAAAAGAAAGAAAATTATTTGGATTCAATGTCTCAACCCTGGGCAGCAATCTACTAAATACATGTTAGAGTAAGACAGATATTTGTTAATAGTAATTGGAGTAAGTTAGTGGAGGAGAAGAACTGTGGTATCTGGTCATAAATTCACTAGTTTCCCAATCCCCAACATCATCTTCAAAGCGATGGCACAGACGGCATAGGCAAGCGATTCATCAGCGTACCACCTCTGTCCATAGTTTGTCCTAACAGAACACAGAAGGAGTTGACACTATTTTATGTCTTCCCTCCCAGAGCACAACCACCATGCTCGTGTAGAACGTGGAGACACTCAACTG